CTAAACGGGGCAGTTAGTTTTGTGATAACTTCGACTCTACCACTTCAATTGAACTTGGAACACCTCACTTTGTCATTTTTACTTCATTTTATTGAATACACAGTGATAAAATTTTCAGGAAGGGTGAAGCGGTCAATCAAAAGGCTATCATGCAACACAAAATGGGTAATCAGGCGGTGATGGGATTCGAACACACCTTCCCAGGGTGATAATTTGATGACGTTAATCACCGAGCCACCGTCGCTCTTCACTTCTGCTTACCGTTATTCCCTGTGATTCTCGCCTGTTGAAAGCAGACCGGGTGATCGTAACACTTAAAATTCACTCGACTCGCAATGCTACTAGATGCTGAATATGTTTGATCCATCTGTGCATACGATCCGCGATCTCCTCGGTGACATTTTACCTGTTTTCGCACACAGCCCCATCGGACATCCGCGAGTGATACGAATACTACACACGCCCAACATGCCGTTGATGAGATCTGTGCTGAGGCTGCTGAGCCGTTCATAATTAGAACATAACATTATGAATCTACCAAACAACCTAAGTTGAATTTCTACAAAAGCAAGTTACCCGCAGAGGTGGTTATGTCACGGCTGAGGTAAGCATCTCTATTATCCAACGTAGCCAGTGTTCCAATTAAAACCCGAAGCCTCCATCTATTCCTGCACTCAGAGTGTTTGAGTGTTTCCTGAGATGAATCCATCGTAATCTAGCGAACGAATACGTCATGAACTGGGTAAATTCAAAAGATTACATCCTCAAAAGAATCATCATCGTTATTGTCCAGCGAAACACAGTGAAGCGAACTTCCATAATAGGTGCCGAGCTCACAATATACACACACAGTGATTACGAATGAGTAAGCTCGATGCGGGATGGGTGGTAGATTTGTTTTGCGAGATGGTAAAGAAAGATGAACTTGTACAGTTAACATACGGAGTATGCGGTCAGACACATTCCCCTTTATACATTTTGACCTGATAAAAATGCCAGCAAAAAGGACACTTGTCGGTTCGCTGCAATGCTCTTTCAATATCTGCAGATAACCATTTAACGAAACATTTAGATCTCAGTCGAGAAGGCGAAGGCTACCTACTCTACCTAATCGCCTAGTGCACCTCATTCTCCCCCTTGGTCACTTGTTGATCTCCACGAAATTTTCTCCAATCAGGGACAGGAATAGCAAATAAATCGTGGTGCAATAAGCGACAATTAGGCACTCGCAATCAACCTATCAATCTGAATTCGCTTTGATAAAGAGTTTTTTACTTGATAAACTCTCAAACACCAACCCGCTCAATTCATCCCACGTGAGCTAAACTATGCAATCATCGACAGTGAAAACTTCTAGTCGATGTATATCTTCCACTTGCACGTTCAAGGCCTCACAACGATGAAATTGAACTGAACGAACGATGACACAATATACACGACCTTTGAACCTCAATGAAACGACACTTCGTAGTCAAGGGTGCTTCAGTTCTGCTTGCGCTGCTCAAGCCCTGCAAGTGCGGGTGATACCGTCATTGATCATACAATTAACTCAGCAGGAAAATCAATCCACTATAACCAATTCTTGGTCACTTGGTTTCGGAGCTGGACTAGTCAATACCCAGTCTAGTATTTTGAAGGTGTGAAGCGTATACCGAAGGTGGTATGTTATCCTGGCAAGTGTACTTTGCGTATCCCCATACACGTGAACGGACAGACGACGTCATCAGCGTACTCCATGGTCATATAATATTTTTCCAACTACTCAATCAGTACGAACATTTTAGCGACCGGCAACAAATTGTCCAGTACGTCATCTACGACGAAATCAACCGGGAATCGCCCAATGCCCGTACGTCTAATAAACCACCTCTGATAAAGAGCGAGCTACTTAGGTCGCTGTAGACTCCCACACACACACTCCGCTAGACGGGAGTAGGGGACCTCAGTAAATTCACAGTTCTGAAGCATTCCATTTCGCGGAAGGGAACGGAAGATAGCTCCGCGGTCAAAATTTCCTTTCAGGTCAAGCAGCACTGCTATCATTGGTCAATACAGCGACTAGCAGTTTGGTACGTCTCGAAAAACAACGTGGTTTTGTGCATTGACAAACGCAGTTAGAATCACTGTCTGAAATAAATCTCTGTCCCACTCCACTCTGCACTTTTTTAGTTGCTAACCCCTCAAAATACCATACAACTGTAGTGTGCGTTGTTTTCTCACGTCAAATGACTCCACAAGCATCCCGCATTACCCACTACTTTGTGTCTGCTAAACTATTTGGTATCTACCGCCACGATTATCTGAGCTGTTCACCATTCCGTTTTACCTTATCTTACCACCAGTTATGAGTTGCCGTTTGATCGCCATGACTGGATTGTGGATCGTTGTGGTCGAGACGTACGTTATGTGATTGACTATTACGACGGTGGATCAGTGAACGAACACGGACAGTTTGCCCTGCTGGATGTGAGACCTGCCCTGGACTCATTTGAAGCCTGTTGGGATCGAGCCCGAGTAGCGTGGATGCGATTCAAATCACCCGAACCACCCCGGCCCACTAGTCCGGAAGATCCACACTTTCCGAGAACTCAGTCTTCATCCGCATCCTCACCGGATGGTTGCTAATATTTCACGAGCATCATCGTCTGTACCTTATTACTTGCCATAGTCTTTTAGCCCTCCCACCCCGCCACTTATTTGCCGCCCGTATTCTACGAATTGCGAGCAGTTGAATTTGTTTTTGGCATGTCACTTTGATGATGATAACGGCATTCTGTTGTATATGCTGTTATCGAACAAATGTTTTACATCCACGTTTTGATATACAATTTTAGAGAGAAAAAAATGATTTTTACTTTTCCGGGGACTTGGGATAATCTTGTTCGGCTAGACTTAGTTTCGGACGAACTAAATCAAATTGTGGGTTCCGAACCGATAATCACAGTCTGTTCTAAACACATGACCTCCTATTTAACAGCTGTTTTGCTGGCCAGCTACTCACTGCGTTCACGTAATAATGTCTTCGTCTCCGAAGTTGAATAGTTTGCCACATGCATTCTTCTGCTCCGCTTATAGCATATCCTACCGCGAGCTTTCTCGGTAGTCTTTTCTATTAAAGTCAAGTGATTCCATTCACCTCGAGGACGTTCCTTTCTGATTCATCCGGGTCTCAGTTGTTACGACTAGTAATCCCCCCGCCATGTCATATGCAAGTTTCCATTGCTTTCTTTGGGCTACCCATGTGAACGGTCAACAAAAGAAATTATTAAATATAGGGGTTAAAATACTGAGAGTACTTGCAAATAAAATATGGAATTTAAATCGATTTGATCCATTGTTTATTGTACTCACGCCTGAAGGATCACAGTATCCGTAGCTAAATTTGTACCCACTAAGAGATATTTCGTATGTGCATTTCACATACAGACTGTGTGGCAAACAAATCATAGTGCCATAATCTTTATAGAAAAAGAAAGATCTATGGTTTGCTCATGGGCTGAATACTGCCAGGTTGCCCTTCACATTCTTTCCACTTTGTTCTGTATTCCAATTCAAGTACCCCCGGTTATTTTTATGGCGTTGGGACCATGCGTGTCTACAAGCCGGTTTTATATATATATATTTATGTATAACTGTCGGGGGGAGATTTGATCGATGCAGCCACGACCGGCACGAAACCCAGCCTGCTCATCGTGTGTTTTGTACAATCTACGAAGAATGACGGACGCTAATAGCTTTGACGTTTTTGGGATCAGGCTTATATCCCTATGATTGGCGCAATCATTGCGCGGACCCTTGTTAAAGATGGGGATAATAATCAACTCCCCCCCCCCACAAGGAGGGGACCTGCTCAGTGTTCCACACTTTGGAGAACAGGACGTGGAGTTCTCTAACAAGCTTTATCCTACCATCTTTAAATAGAGCTGGGGGAAGGCCATCGGAGCCCGGCGCTTTGTGACGTCCTTAGGCTTGGATTTCCTTGAGGATTTCGGTCTTAGAGAGTGGGTCTGTTGATACAGACCATGGGACGTGTGCCGGAATAGCTGTGTGAAAAGCTGACGTTGGTGACCAGCTAAACTGTGCTTTGAAGTGCTCCGCCCAGCGTACAAGACATCGCTGTTGATTGTGAATAAGCGAGCTGTCAGCTTCCCAGATCGTTTCGCTCACACACAAAATTTTCCTACCGGTGACTCGGATGAGAT